TGTGGGCCTAATCGTTTGATGCAGCGATTGCGCCAGCCCCAAGAGCCTAATTTCCGGTGGCCGGTCTGGTGGCGATCTTTCTGGATTAATTAGCGATTTATATCAAATGACAACGTCGTTGTTCATAATTTAATGTCGAAACGTTTTTAATTATTACAAATAATACATGTTGCATTAACTTCCTCCCGAAACTTTCTTCTCAGATATATCTAGCAAACGATGTATTGTTTAACTTAAAGGCATGCACTACCGTTTTTCTCAATATTTGAAAAACGATTTATTAAAATTTACATTTTTAATAAAACTGGAAAATTAATTTAAGAAAACAAATATTCCCTAGGCACCAACGCTCTCCTGGTTCTTTTCATTGTCTTTCCCATTTTCATCTGATAAACCCAGAAACGAGTACATGTGGTCCAAGAAAAAAACAATCATTTAATTACGGATCTACTAGATGAAACATTTTTCTACACCAAAAACATAATTGGACGATCAACGTAGCAAATTCTGCGCTGAATTGAAAACTTGAACCCATTTTTCTTATTTAAGGTGCACATTCAATTTCACGTTCACTTTTAATGTAAGTCGAGGCAGTTATGAGGAAATTAACGAATGTTCAACGTTCTTGAAACGTGTTAATTGTGGAATGTCTCGATTAATTTGCCTAAGTAACTTCTCTTTCTACAGGTTGTCTCGGAATAATTCATAAAAATATTTGAGTTCCGTTGCCCTTGGTACCTTTTTTCTGTTTGAAGAAGTTTGTTAGAAAAATTCACAGTTCGTGGGTTGCTTCGAGAATTTCGGGAAGGAAATCGAAGTCAGAGTAGATCCGATGATCTTCAGCAAGTTTGGTGGTGTAACGGTAACGGGTTTGGTGGTGCAAACCACGGATCCTTCGTAAGTATGTCTCCGGTGCGGAAGTAAAGCTGTCTGTCCCATGTAGTAGATTTACTGCCTATAAAAAATCAAGCCTAAAAGAAGACGAACACAAATTGTAGTCACCTGAATGATACCTTTTTTGTTGCTATATGGCGTAAGGAGCGTTGTCAGGTGAAGTGCGGGACTGATGGCCTGAACCTAACCACGTATAGTATCACATCCTAGAGTAGATCTCGAATCGATTTTAGCAACTGCTTCAGGAGACCATGAAGTTGTTATTGTCTAAGTTTTTAACGAATACTTCAAAAAGCTCAATGTGCTAAACGCGCGCAAAAATGCACCACCTTTTCTTCAAATTTTATAACATTCATCATCCTCTTCTGCTTCTTCATCATTCTCTTATTAGAAATGCTACTAAAATTCCTTTTCTAACAATTTATAATCACGGGAATTCCCTTTCCAAAAAAATTCTTTCATTTCTATCCATGGCTAATTAATTGCTAGGAAGAGAGAAGAGAAAGATCTTCCAATTCATCGCATACATAACATTTTCACCTGGCGTAAGATTATAACATTAAACGTAAGGTCTTCTATTGGATATTATTTCTCTGTGTTCCATTCATGTGAAAAACGCAGCAATATTTTCCAAAAATCGAACTGTCATCCCATTGACTTTACTCTTGCATATTATTATTATTATTATTATTATTATTATTATTATTATTATTATTATAATTATTATTAATATTAGCCAACTAAGATACCATGAAGCGCAAGGGCCTCCTGTCTTTTACAGGGAATGGTGAATGAAGTGATATGGTGATGTTGATGGGTGAAAGGACTAGGATGATGGTAGAAGGTAGCAGGTGGTGGCAGGCGGGGTGGCAGGAGTTTGTAGTGGGAGGTTTTTGGGCATCCCAGCATTCACCTTACGGCCAAGGGAAAACCTCGAAAACTCCGGTCAGACTGGCCTGCCCAGGGATCGAACCCGGATCTTCCGAAGTCAGCACGCTCCGTACTGAACAACTTCGCTTGTTGTTGTGCATGTTACAGGAAAAAAGAAGTTTGATATATTTTAAAACACAGGTCACTGGACTGAAGGTTTTCCTTGTAACTTTAGAGATGGGTTTGTTTAATTTTTATTTACCATTTCGCGAAACCGGTCTGGAAAACTTGTGGAGTTGGTAACCATCTCCTTCAGAGCACCAAATATAATAATTTTTTCTTCCTCTTTCCTTGCTTACACACACGTTCACATGCATTACACTGCCACACATATCGGGAGACCAGTTGGAAGCTTAGAGCTTGACTCGGGTGGGCGGTGACCCGCTGGTGGGAGATACCTTGTTGAGGGATACACCGCTAGTCGACGGTACGTCGGCGTCGGATCTCACCACCCAAAGGGGGAAGATCATCGCCATATCCTCAGGGGAAAACACACTTTACACTTAGGGGGATGATTAACTGATGATGCACGCGAAAAAAAACGACCTAAATCATCTTTGCTATTAATAGTGCGGGCCGGCGGAATTATTCCCTTTTCAATGGAGGACCCCTTTCCGGAAACATATTGACGACTCAATAAACAAACTCTATTGCTCTGTGATATAATCATGTTTTAGGGTGTATGTCCCTTACGATTTCATTATACCACATCACGTTATTGGGATGAAAATCTGTTATGTTTTTTTCGACAGTCTCGAAAATATTTCTCAATTTCTCTATCAAGACGGTATCAGACTTTTCGTCGTGTAGGGAAAACGTCTGGCCAAGTTTTGGAATTTAAATTATGCACTAAATAATTGTTTTTTCTCTCTTAGAAATAATATTTTAATTATATTTTCTTACATAAACAACAATAAGGGCTTAAAATATTTAATTATAAATTGATTTCAACATAAACGATGTTGGAAAATTACGATAGGAAAACAGATTTCCTTTTGTAAATGCTAAAGAATTTTCTTATAACCAACAAGTGTTGACCAGTATTCTTTCCACTAAAATTAAATAATGACGGTGTGCACCGGAAAGTATTGTACAAGCTGTACGGTCGATTACAAAAATGTTTTGTCTGTTTGATGGTACAGAGATTTAAAAATTTGTAATTGTTCTCATATACGCACGTCTTTGAACAGGAGTGTTACACAAATTGATCTAGTAAAACAAAAAATCTGATAGTGGCAATTATGTTTCTTGAAAGCTAATTATTATAAAATTTGCCTCTTGTCACATACTTAACAACTGATTCCTGGAAAGTTGTTAAAGATTACACAAAAATGGATGGCGAATTTTTACATTTACTTTCTCATTCATTCGCTTATGTGATGTATATCGATTAATAATAAATTTGACTATCTAAATAACAGTTTTGATTTTGATGCCAAGTGTCTAACGCACATTCTTCCTTGACATGAATTTTAATTAAAGCGATAAAAAGTTACATCAGACATTCTTTTCATCTTCAAACTAAAAATCAAAATTGCCATTTTGTTATATTTAATTTAAAGATACTTATCACACAACGATCCAATTTTGCACACGTATAATTATCATTGAATTTAAGGCCAACGCTGTAACATTTTTCTGTCTTAAGAGAAAAAAAAGAAAGAAAGAATATTCTTCCAATTGTCACTGTCTCGCAATTTTGTCAAAATATATCCACAAACACATTCCCTTGGCTATAGTCACGCATTTTATCCATAGCTGAACAATATTTTCACGAGTCCCATTCTGACGTATTTGAAGCAAAATCATGCAATAAAATACGTTTTCAGTAACGTATTTAAATGTTCAAGAAAACAAACGATACCATCGAAATTAATTTCACCAATTAACGCACTCATTCGTACGTTTCGTTTTCGTTGACACTTTAAATTTTAACTCAATCCAACAAACTTTTCGAAAAATCGAAAATATTGATATTGTCACATGCTAAGCGTTGCACTCCTATCCAAAAAACGATATTGTTGCCAGAAAGCATGCTGGTCACGTGGTACATCCATCACGTGGAGTACGCGGGTCGGTGTACTGCTTGAGGTAGCTGCTGAAGGTCATTAGAGTTGTCGCTTTGGGTGCAATTCAGCAACAGGTGCTAGACAGACCCCTCATGCTAAACAGAACTGCTTGTACGAATAGCGCGCACCTGAATGCTTAGGGGACCACGTCTTACTAAAGTGTACACGCCTGTCATGACGTTGCAGTAACAAGAGAAGAGCGCCTTGGCGCAACTACAAATAGACTGGAAGCAAAGTAAAAAAGTTAAGAGTGGTACGTGCGTCACAGTTTTATTCATTGAGCTTTCTTTTCAAAAGCCAGAAGAGAATTTTTCAACAAAATGTAAACAAACGTCATAATTTTCATTTGATTAGCCTTTACTTCCCGAAAGGAATTAAAGTGTACATTTTTTCTTCTAACAAATCAAATTACGGAAGTAACTAGCACGCAATGGTTTTCTCAAATTGGTAAACCTGGTGTGATGACCTAAGCCTGGTCTTCATTAAATGCAAGAATTACCTACAAATTTACAGTTATAAATAAAAAATGGAAATACGTAGTTTCATCAATGGAGTAGGGAACCAGCAATATTTATTTTAGATGATTTAGAAAGTGGACTGTGTGATTATGCAACTTTGACATCCACCTGAGCCTACCACTCAATTATTTGAACTTGTAAGTGAAAGTTTCGAACTGTACTGAACCCTGCCCTATGAGAAGAACAAAAGCTTTGTAAATTGCTCTAAAACGAGAGAATGAGAAAGAACTAACATCCCACCAAAATTAAATTATGAATAATTTAAGTAAATGGAAACGCTACAAGCAAGCGTTAACAATACATTGATATAATATTTTGATAAAACATGCGATGAATTCACCATACAGAAAATATTTTGTGTAATGTGACTTCTATTACACTGGCTCTACAACACAGGAAATTCTTGATCAGTCACATGTTTACTTCAAACAATCTGCTAATCGTTGGACGATACTGAAGTTGCGTCAAGTGTTCATTAAATTCTCATTACAGGACACTCCTTCCTAGGGATGACACGTCAACGAAACGAAGATCGAAAATACGGCACAATTCAACTCTCACACGAACATTTCCAGCATCTTGATTTCACCTGAGGAGGTCACGCCTTAGAGAACCACCGAATAACACTGACGTCAAGGTAAGACAAGCGGGCGAAATTCCTGGTGTCAAGTCAAGGTGCCGTTCGCCTGAGACGATTCCTAACGGGTCGCGAAGTCAACACACCGGGCGCGGATCTTACCTGCCTGAATCTGCGGAGGCGCTCGCCGAGATGGGAGCTGAGGGAGCGACCTACAGGCGACTGGCGGCGGAGCGGCGGACGCCGGCAGTCCCTCGGCCGCGACCAGCCTATGACGTCACGCGCGCGCACGACCAACCGGCAGGCTGCGGCGGCGGCGGCGGCGGCGGCGGCGGCGCGGCGAAGACCGTGGTACGGACACTACCACTACCTCGATGCCGTCATTGCCGCCGTCGCCGCCGCCGCCGCCGCGACTCTGCGTGTTTCGAAGATGTTTCCGGCGTAATCGCGGAGGGTTTTCGTGCCTCTCGGGAATTCCTCGGGTGTTGTGATTCCCGAAACACTACTTCGGCGACGCACTGGCGCTTAATTAAAGGATTTAACTCTAAACTTACGGATCGGGATAACCCCGCGATGGAACGGCTTTCTGGCTTCACGATTAATGAGTTCCACATAGGGAGTTTCCTTTGTATGTGAACAAAAAGAAAATATCTTCGTAAAGAGATACTACCAATAAGTAAAGGAAACTATCACAATACAAGTATATGCCTTATATTTGCAAAATACTTGTATGTGACTGAATTCAGGCAGATGGAGATTTCACATTAGAGACCGTATCTTGAGTACTTATCGTTTCGTTTGACATGCACTAGTTCAATGTGCAATAACGTGCAAGTGGTTTAACAGCCTACGACCGAAAAGACTAGTAATTCTCGAATTCCGCTAAAGGAACTCGCTGAAAAATAAAAATAAAGTAAGAAAAAGTAATTCTTTCGAATTGTACGTGAATGTTATATCATTTTTATTGAGCCCCTTTTTTCATTTCTGGAAAAAACTTTGTCAAAATCTGGTACAAGACTAACAGATTACGTGTACGAATATCCGACCATCCTCTTATGACCCATCTCTCATTGTTTACTTTTCTGACAAGCTTGGAGAATACGGGATGTAGCGTTAGCTGTGACTTCCTAAGAAGCTAAAAATTCACCCAGGTACTCGACACAATGTTATTAGCGATTTAATCTATTTCATATTGTTCATCTGAAACATTTCAGAGATTATTTCGTTTCAACTGACTTCAGTCAACTGAGTTTTTGAACATTTGATTAAGAATTTGACGAAAAAGTAGGACAATAAATGATAAGAAATTATTAACATCGTAACTTCATTGCATATACTATCTCCGCTACTGTGAAGTTGCCGGAAAAAAAATTCCCCAAACCTAGTGATTCCCAAACACACTTTTGCGACACAGGCCACCTTAAATTGTAAGCATCAATTAAGGTTTCCGTTTCCTGTTTTCGCTAATTCCATCTTTTTTTCTTTTCGCTAATTTCTTTGCGTCACACATCGCATTCTTCACAATTATTACGTCGTGTGTGTTTCGAATCTCCGTCATTCTAATTGAAAGATACCTTGGTTGTTTTGTTTATATTTAATCGGATATTTTTTTTTCAGAAACCTTTTTTTCCAGAAATTATTAATATTTTAACTTGTGCGAATCTGATCGAGTGCAATCTGATCAGGGTTTTGTAATGTTCTTTGAAGTTTTGAGAAGGTATGCAATGATTAAGTAATTCTTGTAGACTCCACAATTTTTTCTCTCATCCTCAAAGATAATTGTCCTCAGTGTTACGTTATTCACAGTTACAGAAGAAGGAAAACTACAGGATATGATAAATGTCAAGTCAGCTTACTTATGTTTTCGTGTAATGTAGGCAATAATTGCGTCTTAGTATTCAAACTTTGTAGTCTGTTTCGCATAGTTTCATTCATTTTGTTGGGAACAACATGAAGTTATATTTGAGAGATTCTTTGTATTTGAAAAGAAGAAATTTACCATCATTTGTTTCATCTCAAAACTTAAAATGTAATTTCTCAACTTCACCTTGAAGTCCAAATTAGAAAGACAAAAAAAGTGATATTCTCTTTATATTCGTCTTTGCTCGTACAGTCTTCTCGCTCATGATATTTTTAGTTAATGGTTTTATTTGTGTCAACTTATTAAATGAAAAAAATATAAGAATGTTCTTGAGAGTTTGCGGAATTATATCATATTTTTCATTTATTTCAAGAAGAAATATGCCAAATAATGCAACAAGCGGTCACAATTACACAGTTAACTGATTATAGATGATCAGAGCGACATCTAGTACTTCCCAGATATTTTTCTCTAGAAAATTGATTTCTATGAAATAAAACGTCGGCATTCCAATCTCAGTAATTCTCCTTTTCTACTATGTTTTCTTTATAACCTTTTGAATAAATGCAAAAAAATTAAAAGACGTATGAAATAAACATTTATTTACAACCACTCGAAGAAAAGCAAGAGAAAATTTTTCCACCTACATAATCATCTATTATTGCTTCCTCGTTTTCTGCAAACCAAGAAATTACAATCATAGCAAAGAAACTACTGAAATGCATTCCTTTTGCAATGCAAGTATTATTACGTTTCGCAATGTACTTTAAACGTAATATAACTGAGTACTCTTTCAGATCCTTTTTAAGTGCTGATCGTTTATTTAGATGGTCACCGTAATTTAATCTATTTGAAGTACTTATCTGCTAAGCACTAATGAATAATACTATTTTCTCTCATCCACATTCGGCAAAATAATATATTTATATTATTGTTATATATCATTTATATATATATATTATATATATATATATTATATATATATATATATATTATATATATATATATATATTATTGTTATATATCATTTTCTGACTTTTACAAAATTAATTTAAAATTATAATAGTAGTAGTATTAACAGCAATAAGATTCAGCACATTCCCAAAAATATTAATAAAACGCTCCTAAATTTTTTGATGGATTTTCTTTTAGATATTTTTGGAAAATTTCAAACACAAAATACTTTTCTGTTTAATTTCACCGTATTGTGTTACTCGTACTTCAGCTTAATTTTCACGAAATGTGAAAATGAATAATTCCTTATTCATATTATCAATTCCAGACTCTTCTTTATTCGATGATGTAATTGGTCTCCATCACATCCAGAGGTTCGTTAAATATTTATAAGAGATTAGGATTAGCCATATGTTCCCTTTCTTTGTTTTAAGACGTAATTGGCAATCTGAACTTAAATAACGTCACGCAGAATACGAAATTTTGGATTTCGGATTCTATTAGTTCCTTAAGTGGTTTAATATTTGTTTGACGTCGTTCATCTTTATTAAGTAATCCATACAATCGTTCATGGTGACATCACTTTACGCGGAAAACCAAAACTCCAATAAAGTGAGCTATTGTATAACTAAGAGAAGTAAAATTCCCAAGTACGTAAGAGGTAAGTAAAGCACTTCACGTTCAAAACATTTACTTCTCTCTCTCTCTTTATCGATCTCTCTTTCCGCTCACTCTCTCTTCTTGCTCACTCTCTTTTCGCTGTCTCTCTGTCCGTCTCTCTCTCTCGCATCTCTCTCGCTCTGCTGTCCTCTCTCTCGCTCTCGCTCTCTCACTCTCTGCCCTTCTCGCTCGCTCTCTCCCGTTCTCTCCCGCTTCGCTCTCTCTCTGTCTCTCTCTTACACACACACACACACCACACACACATTAAAATATCGATGCAATAACTAAGGAAATGCAGGAGCAAACTTTCCCGTTTACATCGTGGACCTTCGAATATCTTCAGTTCGTAGCTAATTCACTCCACCTCCTGGGCTCACTGGCCGACCTCCACAATTTCTGGCCTCGTTCGTTCGCGATGATCCAGTCAGGAAGCGGCGTCCTCCGGACGAGCAGCGGGTCGGCCGACGTCCGATAATCCGCCGTCGGCCCGCGACCGCCTCTCTCGATCACGGCGCCTCGCAAAAAGCGCCGGCTGCCCGGTCTGTCGGTCAGTCGATTGGTCGCCCGGCCGGCCGGTCGCCGGTCTCGGGTTCGCCGCCCGACCGGAACAGCGCTGGGCGGGGCAGCGCCCCGTTAGGCGGCCGAGGTCGCCGCAGAAGCCTTTCCGCTGGGCAGCTGCCCACAGGGCATGACTCCGTCGAGGCGCTTGCAAACGTATTTTTCCGGAATGACTAAGATGGGGCGACGTTTTTTTGGGGGGGGAGGGCGTCGATACCCGTTTTTTTACTGACAGCGGTCCATTACACTCATAATGCTTAATTAATGCGAAAACAAGTGACTGTGTTTTCATTTAGTATGTGCACGTTAATCTGTATGAATAATGAATGAGTGAGTAGTGTGTGTATTCCGACGGTACCCAAAAAAGTAGTAAAAAAGAAGTAACGTTAAAGTTAAGAAGTAAAAAAGTAAAAACATAGTTATTTAACTAGTAAAAATAAATCAGATTAATTCTGAAGGAGTGTCGAAATTTTTAAAGTAAAACACTTTGTCTCTGCACGAAAAGCAAACAGCTCGGCTCATATTAAAACCCATCTTCCGCAAACTGACAATTTTTGAGACAAGTCACTTTTTTATGCACCGTCGATTTGTGCACATCTGCATACACATATGTGGAAATAAGTGCACAAGTGTGCGCATGTATGACAGTCTCTACGTGTCAAATATTCCTATTATTCTGAATTTCAAGGTAATGTCTGTGTAGTTGTTTATCGTAGGTACGCAACAGAGCCTTGGAACCGGTTACGCTTTGGTCGATAGAATTTTGCGTCCATTCTAATCTGAAAACCTCAGTTTTAGAGGATGAGCACAGAGCTGCAGGGCCTTGTACTCCCTCTTCAGTTAAAGACAATTAAAAAACAAAATTAAATTAAAAGGCACATACAAGTAAAAAATTACAGGAAATACAAATATTATAACATCAGCTGTTCATTTAGCCATACGGTCAGATCCTTTGCTATAATCAGTTTATCTCGAGTTACATGCAATTACATAGTCATGTAAAAAAAAAGATCCCTTTACAAAACAAATATTGCGAACATAGGTCTGGCTACTTTCTAGTTTCCAGCTTTTCAATTTTCTCATCAACGGTCGAAAAGAAATAAGGGTTTGGTAATAAACTACAAGATCATCGGTATTAAAGAAAACGTCAAGAAAACACAAGATACTTAACAACTATAGCGGACACAGGCCTGAACGATCGAATGCGGCCAAAATAAGTGACACTCGTAGAATAATGCTTTGGCGTAAGAAGTAACAATGTTATTTAAAACATCACGGTAAAACTACGTCATTTCCTTCTTTGAACATTGGCTGTTGTTTCCGCCAATAGTTCACAGGTCGTGAGGTTACGAAACTTTTCCCCATTTACAGTTCAGATAATATGAGTGTGCTTGCGAAGTCTCATACTTTTTAATTTCATTATGTATGGTAAATTAAATTTAACATGTTCTTCCTAGTATTTCCGAAATACACATAATCTACTGAAACTTGGAATCAGTTTAATTACTGCGGCCTGAAATGTGCACTCCAGTGTGCACAAATTAAATTCGGGAGAAACCAGGCGTGGTTGCGAGTTAGAATTCCCAGCTTGTTATGGATATTCCGGTGATTGTGGCGTTGTAAGAAATGTAGTATCATATATACTGTAAAATCATATTTCATCGTTTCATAATTGTGCCGGAAAGCCACACATCGGCACTCTGTGCGTGATCTTTGGCATTCCGTTAGGGATTTGTCAATAAAAAATGAGGAGAAGGCAGGAAATTGGTACTAGCTAGTTACATAAAGTCGCTCATGTACTTTAATTTTTTTTTCTGATTAATAACTCACGATATATATTATTTATTATGTGAAATATTCGAGAATATCTTTTTATATCGGCAGCTGATTTTCAAAGTAATACTGAAGTGTTTGTTTTGATGGACTCAAACATAAACAGAGAGGTAGTAAGAATATGAAAAAAAATTACGCAGTTTAGTAGGACAGACAAAATATTTTTGTATTTATTCTTTCTTTAAATAATATCGTGTAAAATGATTTATAATATTAATCTAAACTCAATCTTTTATTGTTAATTTTAGTTAAATCTTTCGATGAAGGTATTGAAGATTCAAAAGTGCAGAATTATTTCTTGGTTATCAAAAGATGCTTGCTTCATTGGCATGATGACTTCGGTAGGTTTTAAAATTTTTAAGCCAGATAGAACCACAAGTAGATGGTTACTTCCTTAAGTGAGACGGTTTAGTCAATAAATTTTCATGCGTCAAGCACAAGGAAATTACACATTTCGTTCCTCACGACAACATTGTGACGAGATGGTAAAAGGAAAATAGAACGTTGTTCTTACAATCCCGAGATTGCTGGATGGGAATATTCTTGAGCTATTTTGTATTCTTTATATCCACATGACAAGGATTTACTGCTATTTTTATGTGCGTGAATCACAGACCGATGAAACTCAGAATACGGATTTTCTTCAATCGCGGTATTTCCCGATGAACAGATCGTAAAGAAGGTGAATAAGATGCCAATAAAAGGATGGTATATAATTGAATACATTCGTACAAAGATTCTTAGATCTAAAGTTGTATATCGAAGAATCCCAACATGGAAAACCACAGGAGAAAAAACCCACATAACAGAAGATTTTCAGCACTATTAATCAGAAATGGGGAGGTCGTTTTCATTCAATTTACCCAGGAATTATTGTTAAATAAGAGAATATTCGTATATTAGATTTATTATAGTATAGTTGTCAGAATTGAGTAGCGTGGCTGTGGAATGGATATTCAGAAAAACTGAACTGTAGATCATAGCCATGATAATGGTTTATTACAATGAAAGGAGAATGTGAAGTTCACGACAATCATGGATAGGCATGAACAAAAGGAATATTACAATGCATTTTCAGAATGATGCCCACAAAAGAAAATGTTTTGATGACAGTAACACCACCTGGTGCATCATACATGATCGAGGTAATTTTAAAATTTTCTTCAGTATTATGAATTTCGGAGACTCCTGTTGTGGGATACATTAAAAACACTGAAATGAGATCCTTTTTCTTTGACGACAATGTACTTCAAGTGTGGGTTTTCTCTCTGCCGCGAATCGAGCGATCTTTGATCTCCCCAATCCCATCGCAGGCCCTCGCTAGCCCCAAGTCGTTTCGTTCGTCGGGTGGCGGCCTTTCGGCTTGCGGGAAGCGCAACGGGGCCGGTTTTATGGGCAGTATTCGTTGCGCCGCCC